AAATAATTATTGCCAACATGTCCTCAAGTTCAGATTTGAATAAAAAACTTATGCATGTGTACCATTATATTTTCATCTTTGTCTGAAGCCCCCAACCCAACTGATATTTTGATTCCAACTTTCACATTGTTCTGTGAATGATCAATATATTACTAATATCATAGCTGGAAAGATTCCCCATGTTTCAATGTCATTGTAGCTGAGACCTTTATAATTTGATGATTGCATTTTTTCATGCAATTTTAATAATCGATGTATTCAGTTGGCGCTCGTGAACGCTCACAATAATTTTGATGTCCAGAGGTGACAAGACACTATAGCTGGAATATATTTTCTGTGTTTTCTTAATTCATCTTCCTTGCACACACACATATATATATAGTTGATGCCAAGCAAATATATTCAAGCACTTGAACATCTTCTCTCAAGAAACACATTCCATACAAATCAACCTCTAAAAGACTTTTTACCCCAAATGGCTTCTTTCCACATTCGATCAAATAGTTTCCCATCTCAGTCACACCCGACTGCAAAAGACGTTGAACATCACTTGGAGAGGCTAAAAGCCTCACAAGCCTCATCAACATCTTCCATTTGCACAAACTTAGCTAGCCTTAGAGATCTACACGAGGGAATCAATGATATGATCCAAAGGCCTTCAATCCAACAAGAGCTTGCCCATCTACAAAATGAAAATTGGACAAATGAGTTGCTCGAGGGATCTCTAAGGCTAGTCGATCTCTGTGGGTTTTCAAGAGATGTTTTATGTTTGACCAAGGAATCCATTCAAGAGCTTCAATCCTCCATTAGAAGACAAGCAGACGATGTCAATGCTTATGCGGCATCGAGAAAGAAAGTCAACAAGATGGTCAACAAATGCATCAAGAACTTGAAGACCTCCAACCGAAATTCCTCACCACTTTCCCCCATTGGGAAAATCCTAAAAGAGGCTGAGTCAATTGACCTCTCAATTCTCAAGTCTCTATTGGTAGTCTTATCCGGGCAAAAGGATACACAAAGCAAGAAAAGTTGGTCGACATTGCTTTCCAAGTTCACACAAAGTACAAGCCGTGTACATTATGAGGTCGATCAAGAAAGTGGTGATATGGATCTAAGTTCCTTAAGCATCCACAAATCAGCAAAGAACATGGACAGCAAAACCATGTTGATGCAGTTAAGAGCGTCCGAAATGCTCATTCATGAAATTGAAGATTGTGTAGAAGCCTTATTTAGAAGCTTGGTCAGGACAAGAGTTTTCCTTCTTAATGTTATTAGCCACTAACTCACTTGAGCTACACTTGTAATCATAGCAACACCCATTGTCATATGTAAAACTAAATTACATAGGAAAAAATGGATAATGATACTCTACTTTCTGCTAAATTTTATCATTTTGTGCATAAAGCCTTTGCCATAGATCTTTTGCTCTGTTTATATTACTCTTTATAAAGAGAGGATAATGAAAATTTAACATATTCAAATATCATCAATAAATAATAATCACATAATAATTTTCTCTCTCTATCTTCTCTTATTCATAACAATATATTATTTTGATTTCTAAATAAGTTAGGCTAAAGTTGAAAAATTATGACAAATATTATAATCAACACTTAATTGAAAAATATTATAATATATATTATTTCGAAGTTTAAAAAATTATTAGCTTTTATTTACGTCAATATTATTTTATTTTTTTCTTATAATTTATAATACCATAAATATTCTAATTTTTGTTTCTAATACATTCAATTATATGAGATTTGTTATGATATTGTGAATGGTAATATGAAATGTTTAATAAATTGGTTTGGTATAGTTATTAATAAAGTCAAAGGATATTTTTGAACTCCTTGAATAAATGTTTTTGGTACATGGCTCGTTAAGAATTGAATAGAAAATCGTAGAAATTTGTTATTAATGTTGTGATATCAATACTTTTATAATATTGTGGTAGTTATCTCAATAAGATTTTTGCAATTAACTTCTAAATTTATTTTGTACTTATATTCTGCATTATTCTCACTCATATTTTGGTCCACATATGGCTAGATACCAAACAAAACAGGAGAACACATGATTTGTAACTAAGAATAAAGATTGATTTATTATTAAAGATAAATAGTTAATTTTCTTTTGATATTTTGGAAAATTGGGTTTGTAATTTTTGTAAAACTGGAACAGTTGAGTTATTGATAAATCAAAGGATTCTAACTAATCCTCTCGGTTAAATGATTTTTTGAAGATACGATAAAAATATTTTGGTATATGGTTTGTTACTGAATGAATAAGAAATCACCGTGATTTGTTATTAATGTTGATAATTAAGATTAAATTGTAACATATAAGTATCATAATAAAATTTCCACAGTTGAGTTTCATTTTTAATTTGTAATTATATTTGCAATCTTATCGTGCATATTCAAATAATATTTTCTAAAAAAAAAATATATTCAATAGACGTTTTTAATTTGAAGAAATTTTGTATAGTTAGTTACCAAAAGAAAATAAGAAATTACAGTAATTCGTAATTAATATGAAGAATCGAATTTTTATTGCGATAATTATCACAAAATATTTTTCCAAATTGATACAACTTTATTTATAAATAGAAAGTCGTGCTATTAAACGAATTGCACGAATTACAACATGTGGGTATAATTTAATTTTTATTTTTTTTTATAAATATTAAAGTAATTTTTACTATATTTTCTTTAGTAGTATGTCAACATATTTAATTACAAAGCCAAAGTTACTATTTTAGATTATTCCATCAACCTCTTTCAATATATATTGATATTGATTTTAAATCACAAGTATTACAACCCTGCTTTTCTCACTAATTGACATGAACTTTATAATGTTTGAGAGCTATGTTCAGAAAGCAAATAATATAAACACAAACAAATGATACTGAGTAAAAACAAATAATGAGTAACTCATAATATTTCAATTTATCTTCATAAATCAATTCATATATTAATCTTTGTATTATTAATCACATTCATAGCATGTGTCAAATATAATGCAAAACAAATAAGAGCGCGAAGAATCTGGACAGCTTATCAGCTCTAGACCGCGAGCAATTACAGATTATACAATGTAAGTTGAAAAACTCAATTATACAGATCAAAATCGTTGATCATGAAGCATGAGGAATCTTTTCAGACAGCTCAACTTTATTATATTCGGTGCAATGCAAATCACGTTGGCATAAAAATCCTGGCACATGGTTGTTTTATGCTCGGAGGTTTTCTGATCTGCAGACAATCACAAAAATAATGTAATGGGGCTTTATTTTTATATCATGAGATATCATGAGCTAATGAAGCCTGAGTTGAATGTGAGGCTTTATTTTTATATCCAATTAATGCCTGTCAAGATTCCCCGTGCTTCACTTTAAAGGTGTTAAAATGTCAGCAGGAACAGTTAAATCTAATAAATATTTTTATTATTTTTGTATCACTTTCCGGGGGCATGGAATTTACTTGAGACATCCCGTGTAGAACAAATTCGTTCTGTTATTCTTTCTTGAATAATCCTTTATATAGTTAGTGTCCCAAAGAGATGGTATTTCGTGGCAGTCAACCTTAGAGGTTTTCCTACAGAAAGCTGCGGTTTAACTAAGGATTCTGCTCAAGAGCTTGATTATAAAGCCTTTTAGAGAAAACACGGAAGAAGCTCGAACAGCAAGCCTATAGCCGATAGAGCAGTTTGACTGGAGCTTTCAGAAGATTCTTCACAGCGAGTTCACATATGCTAGAAGCAAAAATCTTGCTAAGCGAAATCTCACCGTGAGCCTAAAAAGACATTATACGTTATGTGTTCGTTCAGCAGCAAAAACTTGGCTGATTAATGATTTCTAAAACTCACGTTAGTATATAGATTTCAATTTTCAGGAATAATTGGACTACAGGTGCCCAAATACAGAAACCAACCTCTGTACAAAAGCCCACAACAATCATGTTGATCATGTGAAATATTTTTAGAGTTTCTAAACTTGAAAGACAAATATTTAGAGGGCCAATCGATCAAATGGCCATGTGTCCCTTTTTTTTTTTTTTTTTNNAAATAATTATTGCCAAAACGTGCTCAGGTTCAGATTTGAATATAAAACCTAACATTCGATCAGATAGTTTCCCATCTCAGTCACACCCGATTGCAAAAGACGTTGAACATCACTTGGAGAGGCTAAAGGCTAAAGTGTGACATGGATCTTTGTTCTTTGAGCATTCAAAAATCAACGAAGAACATTGACAGCAAAACCATGTTGATGCAGTTAACAGCATCCGAAATGCTCATTCAAGAAATTGAAGAGTGTGTAGAAGCCTTATTTAGAAGCTTGGTTAGGACTAGAGTTTCCCTTCTTAATGTTATTAGCCACTAAATAATCCCATACAAAATGGTTTATGTCTGTAACAACAAAAAGTTGGGGAATATGAAATTGTTAAAATGGTTTAGTTGACTGCATGGTTAGAGCACTTTACTATTTTATCTCTCAAGACAATGCATGCTTGATGAATTAATTATGTATTTAGTGAAGACAAACTGCAACATGCTTGCATCATTGGTCGTGTTAACGCTTGATTTCAGAACAACGGGAACAAATTTAAATCCGGAGATTGTATACGTATTTCACATTTGTAGGTAAATGATTTTTTTTTTTTTTTTTTTGAAACCACTCCGGAGAGTGGGGGTTAGGCCAGGCCCCCAACCTGTATATATAAAAGCCTTAAATGGGCTAGAAAGTCACAGATCTACAAGTCCTATATCTGAAATACTTGTAGGTAAATGAACTTTTGATATTATTATAGAATTCACAGTTGTACAGAGATTGAATGCGTATTTCCAAAAATTACAAAAATTAGCTCAAAAGCCAAAAAAGATCTAAAGGCTGAGAGCATTAAGGAGAGAGACTCTAGTTTTCACTAAACTTCTGAACAAGGCATCCAAGCACTCTTCAATTTCTTTAATGGTCATTTCCGATGCTTTTAACTGCTTCAACAAGATTTTTCTGTCCACGTTTTTCAGTGACTTGTCAATGTTGAACATAAAAAGATCCTCAGCTTCACTTTCTTGCTTCATCTGAGAATCCACGTGTCTGGTTTGAGTCATCTTTGAAATCATTGCCGACCATCTTTTCTCGCCTGATGACTCTTTTTTCCCAGACAAGACTATCAATACAGACTTGAGGATTGATAAATCAAGGGACTCTGCTTCTTTTAGAATAGTCCCAATGGGTGAGAGTAATGCTGTGTTTTTGTTTGAGGTCTTCAAGTTGTTGATGCACTTGTTGACCATCTTTTTGATCTTTTTTCTCGACTCCACATACTCACTAACATCATCTGATGTGGCTGTGTTGACTTTGTTCCTCCTAAGAGAGGACTCAAGATCTTGTACAGATTCCTTTGTTAGCTGGACAATGTCTCTAGAAACACCACAAAGGTCGACTAGCCTTAGAGATCGCTCAAGCAACTCGTTTATCCAATTTTGACCTTTTTCACAAGTGAACTCATGTTGGATAGAAGGCATCTGGATCATAATATTGATGCTGTCGTGTAAATCTCTAAGGCTAGCCAAGTTTGCACAGATTGAAGAAGTTGATGCGGCTTGTGAGGCCTTTAGCCTCTCCAAATGATCTTCAACATTGTTTACTTTTGGGTGTGATTGAGATGGGAAACTGTTTGATCGAATGTGGAAAGAAGCCATTTGTGTGTGTGTTTTTTTTTTTTTTTCTTTTCTTTTTTCTATCAAAATGAACTTTGTCTTTAGGGATCAATGTATTTTTTGAGATGGTGAAAATATGTTGAGACAATCTGCTTGACACCACCTTTTTTATATAGGCATTTAGATGGAAGTTGTTTAAAACAAAAGGAATCATCTTTACTGTAAATTGAAATAAAATATTATGATGCATGTGTTGCATGTCCCCTGAGTCTTTAACAATTGAAATTTCAAAACTCAATCATACAGTTCTCATCAGAGCTATAATCGCTGATCATGAAGCATGAGGAATCTGACATCCATTTTCTAATTGTATTTAAAAAATGTGTTATTTTTGCAACATGGCTCATTGATGAGGCTGTGTCAGAATTGTTTCACGACAGCAAAATCTGGACATTAATAGATTGATTGTAATAGGCTTGGAGGCTCCTGATGTGGAGACAGTGTCCAAAATAAATATTAAGTCGCACACGAGTATATGACTGGACATGTTTTGATGCTTGCACGTATTCTGTTCATTAAAAAACAGAGATCATGAGCTAGAAATACACCACGTTTATGGAAGTCCATATATTTAAATAATATTAATGGCCGTCAAGATTCCTTATGTTTCAAGATTAAAAGTTCATGAAAATTGCAAATTGATGTTGTTTAAGCTAATGTCAGGCAATAAGAAGGGTTGGGTTTGGTTTGGGTTTTTTATATTTATAAATATATAATAAGAATTACTATTTACTACATTTAGAAAGTAATTCCCGCCAAAAATATTGATTGTATACTATAAATAGAAATAAAAGATGGAGCAGTAAATGCAATATTCAATTTGTTAGGTCAACTGCATGAATCTGGTCAGCGTACTAACCATGTTTTCAAAAACAGTTTATACAGAATTTTGTGATACTTATCATTAACATAATCTTAATAATTATTTTATAAGTCCAACCCATAAACATAAATTTAGGCGTGGATAGCTAAGAAACAAAAAAGATAATTTTTTAATTGAATAAGTAGTTCGGCCATAGATTTTCAAAATATTTTGTACGTTATTTTTAATGAAAAATATTTTGTACGTTAGTTGTATCATAATTCTGGTACTAAATATTTATTATGCTTGCTCGACGTGTACTTGTAAACAGTAAAAAAACTAATTTTCAAACTATGTTGCACTCACATCTTTTTGAGAAATATGCCCGGCGTGTACTTGCACTCACATCTTTTTGCTAACGGTAAAAAAATTAATTGCGTGTATCTAAATACATGTTTTATGCTCTTTTATACAAGATAATTTTATATTATTTACAATAAAATATGCTCGACTGTTGGCTCCTTAGCATTATTTGTAAATTATATCACGTGTTAATCCACATTATTATTTAATATTATTTATTTACATCTTTAATTTATAACTAACATTTAATATTGTTTACCCGTGCATCGCACGGGCTACGCACTAACTGTATAAAAATAGAAAAACCATTTTACAAATTTAGAAATCTTTTCCCGCCAAAATCATTAAATATATCATACATATAGTAATTGTTGGACAAATCTGAATAGGCAAAAAAATCGGCTCATTAATTGTGTAAAGATTTGTTTTTCTTTTTCCTGTTTTTTAGTTTATCAAAATCGTTGTTTGACAATAAATATTTATTTTTATTTTTCCTATTTTTAATATAAATCTACATGAGCTTATCTCTTCTGTTACAAAATCCAATTCCATTGCATACATTTTAAAAAATTTCATCCCTTATTTATACAGATTTGAAAAAATAAAATAAAATAGAAACCAATTCATAATTACTACTAGAAATTCATTATCTTGAAAAAGAAAAAATAAAATAAAATAGAAACCAATTCATAATTACTACTAGAAATCCATTATCTACTTTAAGAAGCTAATTTTCATCGGTCTAATTACTACTATTTTTACAAATATTATAAGTTAATCATACAAAAAAGTATAATAATAATTTTGAAATGGTGTGTAATAAAATATTTTTATATTCTCTTATACAAAATAATTTTACATTATTTGACCCCGAATCTTTAATTTATAATTATTAAGTATTGTTTATCCTCCTCTTTAATTTATAATTATTTTTGTTCTTCCTCTTTTTAAATAGGATCAATAATAATTTCCACTTCCGCCATTGAGTGACTCACACTCGAAGTCTATTTATAATATTGTTCACGAGGTACACACTAGTAAGGAAATAAAAATGAAAATAATTTTACCCTCATCATCTATGCTGTTCCATGTGGTAATAACTTTATATGAAACTCTTTATCTGTTCTATTAGTTTGATGAGTTAATCCGCCTCACGAGCCCACATTGCTGATTTGGATTGTAGACCTGCACTTTTTTTTTATATGTTTTTCACATTTAAAAACTACAAAGTTTGATTCAGCAAATAAAATTGGTTCGAAATTGGTTTCTATTATTAGTAGCTGTATATGCCAACTGCTTCTTGTTGACATTTTTCAAGACGTCTTGAGGGGATTACACAGCTATAACATCATTGGTTAATCAGGTCATTATATGAGTATTTAAAGGCTGTCATATTTTTAATCTTCAGATATTGAAAAACATGACAATGCTTTTAGGAGGAGTATGATTAAGAAACACTAGTACAGTACCCGTGCGATGTACAGGGGTTTATTATCTCCGTCCCTTTTAAAAAGCAATTTTCAGTTAAAATTTAAAATACTTATTAAAGGAAAGATTATGTCATTAATAATTAATAAATTAACAAATATAATGAAAATAAAATCTATATATTATTGAACATTTCTTTATATACAACGTTCATTGTTTGATTCTTTGAGATGTCATCGTCGCCACAAATTAGGATTTTCAAACCATTTCTGTTTGTGACACGGAGAAAACAACATACAATTGACCATGACAAAATACTAGTTTCTTAAGAAATAAGTCCACATGCAAATGATTATCCCTGACTCTAATTTATAGTCATGGCGTAACAAACCATAATAAAAAACTGTCAATGCTAGAACTTGAAAGGAATTCTAACATCAGAAGAAAATATAGCCATTCTTGGAATCAACATATTATCACCTGCGTGATCGCCAGTGAGAATCTTACACTCGAGAACGTGAGTGGAGAACTTTGTCACAACCAATCGTGTCACATTACACAGACCCAAAGAGAAGATATAGTTACAAAATATCAAGTTAAAAAAGATCGGATTAGCTTAAGAAATAAGATCATGCTTATCAATCCTATTATTCAATCCCTTATTCGAGTACTTGATTGTTTTCTAGATATATATTTGTAACAACCATTAGTAGTTTGGATAGTGTATATTATATAAATAAATAAAATATTGGTATAAAATATAAATTCAAAATTGATATACGTCAGGTTTTAAGTTGAGTAAGATTTATTTTCTTAAATAATGAGATTACGATCGACTTCAAAAAATATGTTTATCCGTTTTTGTTAAAACAAAAACAAAAACAAAAACAAAAAAAAAAATGTGCAACTTGTTACATGTGTCTCGGATTTTGTCGATTATTGAAGATTAATATGTGACATAATGTTTACCATAATTATTGGAGTTTGTTACAATTTAATTTGGTAAGACTTTTTGGATTGATTGAAAAATAATATTTTTATTTTGATATGTATTATTTATCAAATCTCAAAATTTTTTCTGCAATATTTAACTCCAAACAATCTGAAAAAATTATGGAATTTGTTACCAAAAGAAATCCCAAAGATTATCGACAATATATTGCATTTAAATAACTATGAAGTATGTTACCAAAAAAACCGATATTCTAAATGATTTTTTTATCAAAATTCGAGATTTGTTATCACAATCAGATAGAATTTGTTAACAAAATACCAGCTTGCAGCCCCTTTCGACCTCCCGGTCTGCTGTTCATGTTCCGGGCTTCCGGACAGCTCACTTTCGGGCCCGGGCTGATCCTAGTCTTCACTTTACGGACCCGTTTTTGTACCGATTACACCTGAACGCAAACACACAGTTTAATGGTGAATAACGACAACAATAATCGAGCAATTACGCAAAGTAAAATGCTAAAGAATAGGGAAATAAACAAAACGGGAATAAAAGAGAAGGAACGAAAGACTCCCTTTTGTTCACCGGCGGAGAATGGGAGACACGAAGTCACCAGGCTCAGATAGCCCTTCTTCCCGGAACCCTCGGCACAATTGCGGCTTGGTGGTGGTCAACGAACGGCGACCCCAGTTCCTCAGCCCGCACCCCGGGCTGCACCTCACACCCGAGCCCCGCACCCGGTCACCCCGTCACCTATGCTCACGTCTCAGAAAAGAGACTCGCCTGGAAGCCCAAATAGCTCTAGCCGGCAATAGGAGCTCGGCGGCAGAGCAACGGCACAGAGGCGGCACAATGGTGGCTCTCACACGGGTGGTCACAAAGAAACAGATTAGTGAGAGAGAAAGAGGGGGATCGGTTTGGGCCAAATTTCCCAACATAAATCCCACATAAATTGATATTGATTTTGGTATGCACGGTTTTGGTAAAGGAATTACAAAATCCCAAATAAATCAAATATATATCGAGATTGGTACAAAAAGAAGATAAAAAGGAATAATTGTTCATGAATAAATCCGATAACTTTGGTAAGGAAATATCAAGTATGAAATTTTTGAACAAAAAGAAATCACACAAAATTTGGTTTCATTTGTAAACAACATTCCAACTAAGAGCATCTCAATGCTCTAATGTTATTGTAGAATAAATTTTGACAAATGTCAATAAATTAAATGAATTGTGAACCATGTAGGAAAAATGTTAAGTTTACAACTATGAAATTAAAATATTATCTCCAATGCACAATGTAGTGTAACTAAAATATTATCTACTTACCAAATTATTAAAATTTATAATATGTAGTAAGAAAATTAATTAAATAATTTATAATTGGTAAGAATAATTCTCTCTCTTCTCTTATCTGTTAGCTATAGTGTGGAGGAGAATGTGAATGAACCACATTCTTCACTACATTGTAGACATTAATTATGTCCGCATCATCATAACATAAGTAATTCAAGACAGAAATATAGCAAAACAATTCCAAGAGAAGTTTTCTGCACAAAAGTTTAGTAGAAAATTGATCATCTTTATACTTTTCAATGCACAAAAGTAATATGTACAGTTGTGGACTTGTGGTCGATTAGTAAAAATATAATGGAATCCAAAGTAAGGCTAATGGCTAAGAATATTAAGAAGAGAAACTCTACTTCGGACTAAACTTCTAAACAACGCCCCAAGGCACTCTTCAATTTCCTTGATGCTCATTTCTGATGCGCTTAACTCCTTCAACATGGTTTTCCTGTCCATGTTTTTTGGTGACTTGTGGATTTTCAATGCACAAAGTTCGTCGGTTTCGTTCGACTTTGTAAGCAAAATCGACCACCTTTTCTTGTCTGATGTCTCCTTTTTCCCGGACACAAGGATCAATACAGACTTTAGGATTGATAAATCAAGCGATTCTGCTTCTTTTAGTACTTTTCCAATGTGTGGGAGTTCTGAAAGAGTTTTGTTAGAGCTCTTCAGATCCTTGATGCATTTGTTGACCATCCTGCTGACTTTCTTTCTAGACGCCACATAAGCATTGACACCATCTGCTTGCCTCCTGACAGTGGATTCAAGCTCTTGAACTGATTCCTTAGTTAACACCACAATATCCCTTGAAATACTGCAGAGATCAACGAGCTTGAGAGAACTGTCAAGTAACTCGTTAATCCAAGTTTGACCATTTTCACGAACGAGTGTCTGCTGGACTGTGGGCATCTGGATCATATCATTAATGCCATCATATATGTCTTTAAGGTTGCCCAAGTTTGCACAGATTGAAGATGTTGATGTGGCTTGTGATGCTTTTAGCCTTTCCAATTTATTTTGGATATCATTGATTATGGGATGGGATTGGGATGGGAAACTGTTTGATCGAGAATGTAAGGAAGCCATTTTGGTTAGAAACTCGTTGAGAGATGAATGTGTAGTATTATGTGTTATTTTGAGAGAAGATATTCAATCAAGTGCTTGAAGTCATCTGTTTGGTATCAGCTATATATATAATTGGAATATGTTATAGCTACAATTTCTTGAAATAATTATGAGATTGCACGAGAGCATAAAAAAGAAAAAATATATGGAGAAAGAAAGAATAAAGCTCAAAACAGACTCAGGTACATTGATCTTGAAACATAAAGAATCTTGACAGCCATGCAGTTTAGTAATCCAATTTTGTTTATCTTTGAGGCAGGGGAATGAATATCAATAATATGGATCATAGAGCTTGAAACAACACACTATGGTCTGCGGCCGGAGGTCGCACATCTTCAGACATAAGATGAATGATGATGGTGCTTGCATGTGTGCATTACATTTAAAGAATAGAAAAGAGAAAACAGAGAGAGAAATGAGTGTTATGGCATTGACCTATGATTAAAAAAATGATAATTATTTTTTATTCGTTTGTGTGTTTTTGCAAAAAAAAAACAAAAAAAACATGGATTAAATTTAATCAGAATTCGGGCTGGTGACGCAGAAAAGAGCAAAAACAAGTTTTTTTGTCCACTCGTGTGCCACTTCATTTCATTCTCTTCGTTGTCTGATGATAGCAAAAGCTCCAGCCTAGGAAAATTAATCTTTTATTCACAGGCCTTCTGCATTTGGTCGACATATGATACAGGCTCATTAATGGATTATTTCTGCTTGAAGCTATATATTAATTTTTTTTCGTTTTCTGTCAGGATTCTTCATGTTTCATGATCAGAAATTATTATGTATGTAGCTGAGATCTGCACGATTGAGTATTTCGATTTGAATGCCGAACAAGCAGCTTGTGCACGACTATTATTTACTATAATTTACAGAAAGGATGATGGAGATTATAAGGTGGAATGCATTTCTTTTTTGCTTCCTTTCTCAATTCTCACTATCCATATGTATCTGATACAAGGGATGGTTCAAGCACTTGACAATTTTTCTTTCTATTTCAGTAAATAAAACTCATCCTTAGAAAAGTCAACATTGATAGAAAAACTATGGCTTCTTTACTAGTCCATAAACATATAAAAGAGAAAATGTATTTTAAAATCACATTAGAATATAAATTATGTACGTGCACTTTACTAGTCCTTAAAAAAGTCAACATTGATAAAAAAAAAAAGGCTTCTTTTTGCAATTTTTATCTTTCATTTGCTTGAAATTTCTTCAATTGAACATGTAGACGGACCAAAAGGAACCTACTCCAACAAGAACACCATTGATGGAGTTCATCACAAGAAAATTAATTATTTTAGCATCTTGACAGCCAAAGCTCTAGACCACGAATACGATTAGTGATATACTAACCAGAAATCAAAGTTGCTGCATCATTAAGCTGAGTAGATATGTTCATATTTTCATTTTACTTTACACTAATTCAAATGAAGGTTGAACTATAAATTTATAATAGATTAATAATGTAAGATATAAAGAGAAAAAATAATATCAACTCAATATACACAGAGCTTTATAGAAATAATAATATCATTATCCTATTATCCTTTTTTCATGTGTCATTTACAAAGGTGTAAAAAAAATACTAGATTTAATGGCTAAGAACATTAAGAAGAGAAACCCTAATTTTAACCAAACTTCTAAACAAGGCTTCCAAACACTCTTCAATTTCTTGAATGCTCATTTCTGACGCTTTCAACTGCGCCAACATGGTTTTGCTGTCCATGCTTTTATATGACTTGTGAATGTTCGACAAACACAAATCATTTGTAAAACCTCTTTGAGTGGACTTTGAAAGCAACGACCAACTCTTTCTGTTCGACTTTTCAATTTCCCCGGACAATAGCATCAATACAGACTTCAGAATAGACAAATCAAGTGACTCTGCCTCTTTTAGCATTTTCCCAATCACTGGGAGTGATGAACTATTTTGTTTAGAGAAATTCAAATTCTTGATACATTTGTTGACCATCTTGTTGACTTTCTTTCTAGACGCCACATAAGCATTGACTCCATCTGCTGATCTCCTAACTGAGGATTCAAGCTCTTGAACTGATTCCTTAGTTAACAGAACAATATCTCTTGAAATACTGCAAACATCGACCAGCTTTAGAGAACCATCGAGAAGCTCGTTAATCCAACTTTGACCTTGTTCGTGAAGGATGGTCTGCTGGACTATCGGCATCTGGATCATGTCATTGATGACATCATATAAATCTTTAAGGCTGGCCAAGTTTGCACAGATTGAAGATGTTGACGTGGCTTTTGAGGCCTTTAGCCTTTCCAATTTATTTTGGATATCATTGATTATGGGATGAGATTGGGATGGGAAACTGTTTGATCGAGAATGTAAGGAAGCCATTTTGGTTAGAAACTCTGTTGAGAGATGAATGTATAGTATTATGTGTTATTTTGAGAGAAGATATTCAATCAAGTGCTTGAAGCCATCTGTTTGGTATCAGCTATATACATAATTGGAATATGTTATAGCTACAATTTCTTGAAATAATTATGAGATTGCACGAGAGCATACCCACCATGTCCACTCAACCTTCAACATTTGAAAAATAAAAAAGAAAAAAATATATGGACAAAGAAAGAAGAAAGCTCAAAACAGATCATTCAAATCTCATTACATTGATCTTGAAACATAAGGAATCTTGACAGCCATGCATATTAGTAATCCAATTTTGTTTATCTTAGATTTGATCATAGAGTTTGAAACAATACACTACGGTCTCTGGCTGGAGGTCGCACATCTTCAGACATAAGATGAATGATAATGGTGCTTGCATGTGTGCATTACATTTAATGAATAGAAAAGAAAAAAAAAAAAACAAAGAGAGAAGTGAGTGTTATAGGATTGACCTCTGATTAAAAAACAAAATGATATTTTTATGTTACTAGTAAAGTGAACGTGCGATGCACGTGGTGACGAATGTTTTTTGCCGATTAATTTTAGTAAGATAAATAATTAATTTATTAAACATATGATTGCAGTAAGAAAAAATAAAATGTAGATTAAATAAACTCTTAATTATTATTTTTTTTTTAAAAATAATATAATGATGTCGCAATATAAAAAAATTTAAATAATATATTACAACCCCAACAAAAATATATGAAAATGAGTCCATAATAAAAAAAAAACACTAAATAAGGACCTAATGTATATTATAGATGCATGAGTTCTTTTATTTATTTATGTAGATTCAAGAGTGATTTTCTTTCATTCTAATTTGATGTTCTCATAAGAAACATTTATACTCGTTGTATTCCAATACATCAATAGTATTGTTAATTTTTTCTTAATTAATTTGGTAAAACGTGTGCTTTATTCAACACTTAGAGATACTTTAGCCAATATATAGTCAAACTTCATGATTGTATGATCATTATAAAGTATATTTACTAACAGTTCATAAATATCTCTGTGATATAACCAACTGTATCATTAGAGTTCTTGATACTTGTGTCATTAAAATTCTTGATATTTTTTTTAATCATTGTATAAAATACTATATTACTCTCTCTCTCTCTCTCTCTCTCCATATAACAAATTGGTATGTACTCCATGGGGTAAGAACGAATTTAATTTCTAAATAAAAATTGATTTTCCAAAATCATGTACTTCTCCGAAGTTGCTAAATTATTTTTTAAAATTATCACACATCACATTAAAATACGTATATAAAGTAATTGTACATATGATCGAGCACAATACACAAATTAAGATAGAGAAATTGGTACTTACTCCATGGGGTGGAAACGAATTTAATTTCTAAATAAAAGTTAATTTTTCAAAATCATGTACTTCTTCAAAGTCGCTAAATTATTTTTTAAAACTATCACACATCACATTAAAATACGTATTCTAAAGTAATTTCACATATGATCGAGCCCAATACACAATTAAGATTGTAAATATTCTATCAAAATTGAACTTATTCAATCACTCAAAAATAATTTAATCATAATCAAACATTCCCTTTTCAATGTTATTTATTTGGACGATAGATGAACTACATAACCTATTATTTGCAACAATTTGCATATCATTGAACATTTTGGTTGTTGCAATGATTTTAGAGTTGTTTATCATAAAACATTTCACATTCGTTTGGATTACTTGCAATATTTATGTGTCTAATAATTTATTTAATGCATTTATTGTCCACTTTTTGTATCATAACTAATGCTTCAAAAATTCAAGATAACGATCATTTCTTGATTCTTCAATAATAACAAAACAAAACAAAACAATGAAACAATATAGAGTCGCATATTATCTGTCAAAATATTTTAGATGAGAAGGATTTGAATTCCATTATATTATGATACTCTTAGTCATTTGTTAACTTTACTATTATGAAGTCATTATTAAAGTTCCTGGTTTATATTATTATAATATCGAATCACTATTTATGAGAACCAATTTCTTATAGATAACATATATTTAAATGCTAGCAACAAAAAAGTAGTAATTTTCAAAAATTTTTGTTTCTTAATATTGGTATTCATACTTTTCTAAAAAAGTTCTGACCGTTTCTTTTCCCCATTGCATTACTATTTGTTTTATTTGTTTTTTATTTTATTCACAAATAATATTTTATTTGTTGAAAAAATTAGAGCACATTTATACACATTGATTTTTTTTTTAGTAATAATATATTTGATAAAAATGTACTTTTATATTGTTTATAAGATTAAAAAGTTTTTGGATTTTTTTTCCATTGATGATAAACTCCTAAGTAACTAATTTATTTTCATATCCACAAAAAATATATTTTTAAAACCATTATGGTGTTCTCTTTCAAGCAATAATTGCATAATAGTTTAACATACAACTCATTTATTTTTTTTCTTTTAATTCATATAGTTAATATTGGTAATAGATGTACGTTTACATCCAATTACACTTTTTTCTTATTATTGAATATTTCAAATCTATGTAAGAAAAATATACCACAAGTTTATCCAATATTATTTTATAATTAATAAAATTGAGTTAACATGGATCTATAAATTGGTATATATTATTTTAAATTGCTCTATGTATATATATATATTTTATTTACAATACATTGGTCAAATCAAACATCATGAGAAAAAAATGATGTGATATACTAAATATAAAAGTGAAACAAAAAAAATATTAAGTATTTCAAAATTTATAAATTTAATGGTAAAAATTAATTGAATTGTTAACTAAAAAGATGATGACTAACATACATATTTCTAACACAAAAAGATAAATATAGTTTTTACAAATGTGCATCTCAAGTATGTTTTAGATTTATCATTCGCTAGCTTCAATTAATATGGGACATTTACTAATTTTATTTTTTATTATTTCTTTTGGATGGAATGTGAGCTATAATCTTTCTCATTGTGTAGTTTTACCTTTTCATCATGTAGAACAATATTCTTACCTCTTGTTTAGTATTAGTCTTACCTTTTTATTACATAGAACATCATTCTTACTTCTTGTTTAGTTGTTATAATACTAATAAAATAATTAACTGCACACAATATTATAAATAGTGCTTTTTTTTTAATTTGGAGTCATACTTTTACTGTAAGAAAATGATGAAATTCTAATGAAAGCATGTTACAACGGAATTTCAACAACAACTCTAACGAATATTTCAATGTTACAATTCTCGTTTGAATTTTTCAATGAATATTTTAACAAAAATCTTTGTTAGAATTATGGGCAGATCCATGTTTTGTCTAATAGTCCCGACACAGGCCTCATCCCAAAACATATAGTATAAGATATCTAACAAAAATTATGGGAACATTTTTCATAATTTTAATCATGCCCTTTATTTAAAAAATAAAATTAAACGAAAGAAAGATAAATAATAAATTAATTTAAAACTCAATCAATTATAATTTAGTTCAACTCATAACTATATCAAAGATATAATATAAATGCAATATTACAACTAAACGAAATATAATAGTTATCAAAATTTACAATTTTACGACATAATTTTATGATAGCTTATATTCTCTCTTTTGCGACATAATTTTATCTAACTTTAAAAAATATTTTTATGTCTTTTTTAACTATATGTAGAATTTTAGTTATATATTCGTAATTTATACATTCATCAATTATATTGTCGAGTCAACTATACTATAACATAAAATATTCGTTCCTAATTTTTTTTTAAAAATATAATATTTTTTTATTATTTCATATGTCGAATTGAGAAAAAAATATTCTTTTCTTTTTAATATTATTGAACATATTGTTATTGTATCAATGTGTAAAAAAAAGTATTACATATGAGAAAGATGACAAATAATAAAAACTATAATTTATAAATTGTAATGGCATTATGTTATTTTGATGGTACACTTATTAATCCACAAAAATTCTATTGTAATTTAATTTGATATCTATTGGAACAACATTATTTTTTCGTTATTACATTTTTTCATATTTATTAGTAAGTATTAAAACTTAGTTATATTTTTAATATTATGTAATTATTAAAAGAATACATAAAATTAAGTATAGAACTTTTTTTGGGTCTTATTATATCCATTATAGTTATACATCTATATAATATATTATATATATAGTTATAATTTTATCATTAATATTATACTCAAATATTAAAAAAAATATGTACATTTTTTCTAATAAAAAGTTGTTTAGCTTATTCGGTCGTTGGCTGTATATTCGGCTGAATAGTTGTTATCTAGTCTTGTTTTGTTATTAATATAAGTCCTTTTTATCGTTCTGTTTCAAAAAAAGATACGTGAGTAATGGTATTATATGAATATAATTTCTTGATAAAAATTTATTTATTTTCAGCGTATATAGACATATTATAGTTCTCTAGATATTTTGAATTAATTTTGAAGATAATGACCAATAAAAGTATATACAACAATTGTCTATCACCTAAAACTTACACCTAGAATTAATAAGAAAAAAAAAATTAACAAGCATTTAACAACTCAGCTCGTTTTCATCAATAAGTACAAGTTTTAAAAGTTTGATCTTTATTTTTATTAACCATAACATTTATTTATTACTTTATTTTTATATTTTTTAGTAAGTTTTACAACTTAAGTGTATTTTAATATTATTTATCAAATTTAATATGTTTTTCCTTTATATTGTTATTTTATATGTTTTAATATATATATATATATTCCTTTATGATGTTTTTTTTCCTTAATATATTTGTTAGAAGAATATATAAAATTAAATATAGAACCTTTTGGGACAGTTGTTTTATTATAATCAATTAATTGTATATTTTTTATTTTATTATATATAATTAAATTTTTCTCATTAATAATATACTCAAATATAAAAAAATTAATTATGTAGTTTTT